TGTAACAAAATCCATAGACCACATTTGGCGTTATTATCGCTCAAAAAAAAGGTGCCAAATTTCAAAACGCGAAATTATGTAAATTCGTGTATATCTTAGAAAATTTGAGTAGAAAAGTCTCTAATTTTTTGCAGATATGTTTAAAAATACACCTACTTTAAGATGATGGTAAAAATTTTATAGGTTATAATTCAAAATTTTTTCGAAAAAAATCTATAGAAATTATTTAAAAATAAAAATTTAAAAAATAAAACGCAAAAAATGGGTAAATTTTATTTGGAATGGAACCAAAATTTCGAAATGTGAAGAGAAAAAATCAAAAAAAGTTTAATAAAAAAAGAGATATTAATAAATATATATGCCATATTTCAAGTTAACATTGAAAGGAGCTAAAATTTTGAGAGCCTAAATTTTGAAAAAACTAATCGTACGATTTTTACAAAACTTGGCAGTTCTGGACATTAATTTGAGTCATAGAATCGAAATATAGTAAAAAAATTGGTATGTTATTTCAGAAAAAAGTTCCGATTTTGAAAGTTCAATTTAAATACCTATATTTAGAACAAGTACTATATATATGAATCTAATGCATATATCCTTAAGTCGCGCTTTCGAGACATGCAAAACGTAAGTTTGAATTTCGTCAATCGCCCCAGTAGAACGGGAGATATAGCACTGTCCCATTTTTTTTTTTGAGCAGTGTACATAGATCAGGTTAAGTTTTTTTAATATGGTAAAGCGTGCAAGAACTATCTGCCTAAGTAATGAGATGCCTCCATGGAGGAATTTCAAAGTAAACTGACTTTGAGTGCATATAAAAATAATGCATGTAATTTTCATTCAGTTTATATATATTTATGTAAAAAATTCTGATATATGCTAAATTATTGTAAATTACTTTATTCGAAAAATATACTGAATGCAGAGAAATTAAAGATTTGTACATACTGAAAATTAAAAAATATTAAATAGATATAAGTATTTGTGCCTATCCCCGTAAAAAGCATGCATTTGCCTTTAACAAAATACGTAAATATTTATTATAGTATTTATAAATGTATTTGGAAATGAAGGATTTATTCATTTATAAACTCTTGTGAATATTACTATGAAGAAACCTACTTATTAATTATATATAAATTTATAATTATTAAGTATTATCTAAATAAACAATGACTAACATTTAATTGCAAAAGTAAATTGAAATTCTCTTGACAGATGTATGTGTAAAACTATTTTTGCAAGAATTATTCGCAGTGGAAAACAATCTATTAAAAGGTGTTGTAAAGCTTAATCTAACAGATGGCAGTAGCAAAGTAGAATTTTTAGAATATGTATTATTGAAATTAAAGGTAAAAAAATTTGATAAGTATTTAAAGAAGTATTTTCATACATTTTATAATAACTCAGCTCTATGTTTTGAATAATATTAACAAATCCCCCCTTTTTTATTCCTTTCAGAAATATTCAAAGAAAATTAAGTCGATAGAAATGAGAAATCAGCAGCAATATTTAACATATTTTGCTATTAAAATAAAAGGCACTCTAATTTGAAATGAACTGAAGAGAGCATTAAATTACACAGTGACTATGGTTTTTGATTTAAAAGATGCCTTAGAAGCTGAAAATTATGTCATATTTGTAAAAGTAGTTCAGAAAAATGCTCTGTAAATAGAAAAGAAATATTGCAAAATTTTAATGTTAATAATACAATAAACTTTGATTTTAATTTTTGTAATTGTTAACCGAATAAATCTGAACTACCTTAAAATTTCTTTCTAATGTAATAAACGAAAACTTGTGAAAAATGTTTCATTCAAATTAAATCTGTTCTGGCAAAATATAGCATTTAATTCCATTCAGAAAGAAATTTTCTTCACAAATGTATTCTTTCACATACTTGGAACTCTGAAATATTGTAGAAAAAGAATATATATATATTTATCTTTATGATGTAATAACAAAATGTTTACCTTTGATCACATCAAAATCTAATGATCTTAATGGCAAATCACTGAATGTTTTGGGCACCAAGAGGGGTGTTTCACTGCTTTAAGGCAGTGCATGGGAAAACTAGTTTGGGACTCTCCTGTATTTCCTATCTCCATATACCAGTTAGAACTTGAAGTGAATTACCAGTATTTTGCTGCTTGGCCATTCCAACATTATGTAGCTGTTTTCACAATAAATATTTGTGTACTTGCAGAAATAAACAGTCATTTTCAAACAAAAATTATTCAAAGCTTATTAGTAGCTCCAACAGATGAATGAAAAGCTAAAACATTTAGTCTAGCATTGATAGATATTCGAAGAAAATCATGTAAAATATACACAATACTAAGTCTAAGGTCTAGGTTTGTTGGAACTTTGGCAAATTTTGGAATTTTCAGTATTTTAGTTCACCAGTTTAAATCTAGTTAAGTGACATGTAGAAATTATAAAATTAAAATATGTAAATAGCTGTTGATGAAACAATGAAGTATTTATGATCTTAAGGGAATTAAAAGAAACTCATTTATTTATTTGCTTTATAAAACATTTCTTTCAATGTACGTTATTGTAAGCTTTTAAGATTCTTCACATAATTTCTTGTGGAGTTACAAAGTTCTATTGTTCAAATTCTGGAATTGCTGAGATGAAAATTCCCACTAGATAGTCAAACAGAATTTTTCGTTCTCAGCAACGCCTATCACTTTCTTCTCTATTGGTAATGATATTTTCAGCATTTAGATTACAGATTTTGACTAGTGTCTTATTTTAGCATAGCTTAATGCTTAGTTAGCATCTGCTATACGCAACTGGTGATATATCATGAGATTGTTGACTAAAGACATGTTGTTCTGCTAAATTTTGTCTTGCTTCTATCATGCCCAGTGGAAGTTAAACCTGAACTATATTAGTTTAGTTATTTATTTTAATTACATCTATTTCCAACATATGCTTAAGACTTATTTGAGTCCCAAATAAATAAATTCCCACATACACTTACAGCTTTTCTAATCAACAAATCTGTTATTAATTCAAACATCACTAAATGTAATGTTTGTATAAAGAGAAATTTTTAAAAAAAAATTTTTTTCAACAACACACTCAACACAATTGGCTGAGGCTTGTGATTGTTTCCAAGTGTCAACCCAAATGATTATCATGATGTTTGGTACCACAGCATGAGTAATTTCTCAAGGTCATATAGAGAGTCAAATGGTAATAAAAACAAAAAATAAAGAAGATAAAAAAGCAAATAATTGCCAGGTTGGATATAAGTTATACTGTAGGTGTAAAATCAGAGATGAACTTCAGTAAAATGTTTTGATCCGAGATGCAAGCAAAGCAAAAAAGTGGCTATGGAGCCTACAATTTATTGATAGATTTAAACTAATTAATTATTGTATTTCAACATGGAGTTGTTTTATTTAGTGCCAAACTGAAACTAAGAATCAAGATCTTTCACATACTTTCTTTTAGAACAAAGAAAGTCTACTATGCATGCATGAAACATCAAGCATATACTAAAGCAAGATACTACATTAGAAATCTTCCTCCCTTTCTGGGGGAATAAATAAATAAAAATGCTGGTGATCCAGAGATTAGATCACCTCAGATACTGTTCATCTAGATTTTGAACTCTCTACTTTACTGATATCTGAAGCAAATGGAAACATTTTATGCAACACACGACTTCCCTTTTTTCAATGAGATAAATTCAATGATATATATCTCTGTTACTCAAAGAGATGAACACTATGCTGATAGTTATAAAAGGCCTGAAGAAAAGCTAATACAAGTTGCGTTATTTTATCTCTGTCTTTGTGCCAACTTCTTGAAAATCATGCAAGTCTCTCAGTCTAAATTTTCCTGAATGCTTGTCAAAATCAACTTATCGTCATTTTGATAATGGCTTCTTTTTCTCATGTTAATAGGAAACTAGCTTATTCTCTTACACCCTATAAATTAAATCTTACATATTTAAAATTCTACATATTGCATAGTAATGTTTATCTTCATTTGTTAATGTTTTAATGCATAGATGTAATTTTAATGCTTTAATTACCTAGAAGACGCATTACTATTTTTTAATTTTACTGCAAAATGACAAATAAGGCATTTATTAAAAAGAAAAAAATCTAAAAGATTTTGTGGTAAAATCCTAGTATATAAGTACAGCCTTGGCATGATTTTGAAAACTGTCGCCAACACCAAAATGACCTGTTTAATGCTTACCACAAACGTCTGGTTTACTGTTCATCATTATGTCGCCAATCACACGTGCATACGCAGCTCTGCGTATGCCCATGTGCAGTACATGTTGAATGAAAGAAATACTTTCCCATTCTTATGTAAAAGAAAATCGGTTTAATTAATCGTAGTATACGGTACACACGGGATTTGGCGACATAATGATGAAGTCTCTCGATCGAGTCACTGAAACCTGCTTTGTCTTTCTAAATGACTATCTGATTACAACTGCAAAAATTGGCTCTATTGGTATTCAGCTGCCCGAATGATGCTAATGTAATACATAATTTGGCAAGGAAGTGACCGCTTCCAAAGCTGATGCAAAAATCGCTTTATTTCAGTTCGTCATATGAAATTCCCAGACTCGCACATTTTTAAAAATATTTTGATTCCCTGACTTTTTTGGTTATTTTTCAAATTCCCTGACTTTTCCAGGATTTCCAGGCAGTGTGGCAATCCTGTTGAAATAATATTTTGTAGACATTTATTTACTAAAGTGATTAATATAGGTAGTATTTTTTCTTTAGAAAAATTGAAAATAAAATCATTATTTAAACAGTGATTTATTTGAAAATGTTATTCTAATGATTTAACATTTTTTATCCAGATTAGTGAACTATATAATATTTTGAAATGTTTACAGATAATTAAAAATTATAAATGCATGAAATTAAAATTTATTTCTCATTAATAGCTAATTTCACTAAATTCTATATATCTTATACACATCTGTACCTTAATCTGCAATAAAAAGATGTGTATACCTTAGTAAATGTTGCTGCTTTTCCAACAGTAGGATTTTTTACTGTGAATTGAAGTTGCTGCACAAAAGTAGGAACTTTATCAAGAAGTTCAAGCAATTCATTTTTTTGCTGGCCCCCTGGAACCTGCAAAAAAGTTAAATACACACATCTTAAATTTTCCACGCATACACACTACAACAGACAGCAATTCAGATTCTCAACATCATCATTATAGGTCAGTACTGTTTATATATATATATATATATATATAATCCTATGGCTAGCACTTGCCTATCGGGCACTGGCCACTACAAAGGCTGGAAGTGGTGGTCATTTTATTTTGGAGGGACCTAATAGGTGGCCACTGCTACCTCCTCTGATGGAACAGGCAATTTACATCTATGCCTTCTCTGGGATTTGAACCTGGGCCCTTCGGTATCTCAGTCAGCTCCCCTAACCACTATACCATCTGGGTGGCAGTACTGTTTATATAACTTTGAATAAAATACCCAAATAAAAATTATAAGAACTTCCAGGAAGGGAAAACAAGATCAACATTGAAAGACAAAGAAAAAGTCAGGAGCAGTAACTGTAGGCTAAATACAGATTATCATTTATTAAAAAAATAGTACTCCTTTTTGATTTATAAGAATTCCCTCCCCCATTTACAATTATCTCATTACTAGATAAAAAGTGATCACGATTTGTCTTATTTGGAAGAGATACTTATTAATTATCATTCCATTCTCTGAATTCCACAAATTAATATACTTAGAAAAAAAGCTTTAATTTTTTTATAGTAATATGATAGACAATTATTTTTTTGAAAACTAATTCTTGGGATCATTACTCAAATTATACATTAATTTCACATTTTGTCATTTTGTCAGCTTACTGTACTTACTGACTACAAATGAAGAGCTTGTTATAAAGAAGAGTTAGATGAAGAGAAGTTAAATGAAATGATGAAGTTAAATGTGTGCTAATATCGGGAAATATATTTTAAAAACATTTGAATGTTATAAAAAAGAAATATTCTTAAAACACAGATAACAAAGTATGCAGTACTAAGACAGTTTGCATTACCTAAAAACAGGTCCCATAACAGCTTTTCTTCTATACATAGTAGATAACAGGTCTTTGATCTTCAGAAAGCATTTCTAAGATACATCTGTTCAGAAAATATTTACAAGATACACACGTGTCTTGCTGTGTTGTGTTATAGAAATGGAATCTCCAAATTTCAAACAATAATTTGTGATAAATTTTCCTCTGAAGTACTTTTTTGAAAAGCGAAAAAGCATATGGAGGGCATTGCTATAGTAATGGCACAAAACCTTTTCAGTACCCTGGTGAAACTACTGCAGATAAAATCTACTTAGTTCTGGTGCATCTATAACAGATAAAAATACGGTAAGTATTGGAAATCTGCTTCAATCAGACATCTGATACTAAAGAGGATCTGTACAGAATTAAATTTCAACCATTTGAAAGTGTACAAAATTTTAACTTATGACAAGGTTGTACGCCAGATTATTTCCTAAGATACCTCACCTCACATTTGAACAGAAGAATAATAAAAATGAGTGTTTTGTTCTTCTAGAACACATTATGAGTGGCACAGGTGAGAGGCACAGGGGTAAATGGGCGGAATACCAGAATTTCACAATAAGTTGTACAGGTACTGTTCCACTGTACTAACTGTGTAGCTCTGCCCCAAATTTGAAAGAGAACACACCCTACAGGATGATCCGAGGGTCTCTCAACACTCCTCCCTAACGCCAACCACTCAAAAAGCCTTTTGGTTTGCCATGTATTTTGAATACCCCTTGCTGCACATAACACTATACACTTACAAACATCCACACCTCCTCCAGGATTTGAACCTGGGCCCATCGGTATCGTAGTCATCATCATTAAGAACTATTCCATTTGGGTAGCATCCAAAGTGAGAGGAATTTCCTTAAGAAAGTGATATCCAGTGACAAATACTAAATTTTTCAATACAATATTCAAATGAAATTTCAGTCAGGAGTGGCATACTAATAATTCACCATATCCTAATAATGCAAAAATGAGAAAATCTCAATCAAATCAATGTTTGTTTACTTTTTTGTGAGCAATGGATTTTTCCAAAAGACTTCCTGTCTCAAAGAAAAGTTGAATATATGCAAAAAATTTAAAGAACTCAGGTACTACTGTAACACAGTTTTTCCTATTAAATTTTTTTAAATTCAAAACAGCATTTCAATAATTTCACAGCTTTCTGATTTGAGCCAGTATTATTTCTTTTTCTTTTCTAAAGGTACACATTTGAAAAACTGATGTTTTAGTACTGTGGACAGCATCCATAAAATGTAATAAATGAGCTTAAAGCTTTCCAAACAATGCTATAAAGACACAGAACAATGTCTCTGGCTGTATGCAACTTCCCAAAGCACTTACTTTGAAAGACATACCACTGATTTGTAGCTTATGCATAAATACACTCACGTTTGTGAAAATTGCAACACCATGAAGGACTTACGCGAGTGAGCTGAAATTTTCAGGAAATGCAAAAGTAGCGCATGATATGCAAATGATTAGAATTGCAAATCCGTAGCGCATGCGTATGCTGAGCAGCGCCCTCTGAACGGCTGATGGATCCGAATAAATAGACGGCTGTAGCGAGGCGTGTATGGTTATCGGTGGTTATCTGCTAGTGGTAAACGTTAACTCAATCTGTACTTATGCCTCGTCGACGAAAGAGAGCGAGATTTGAACAACTTACAGAGTTTGAACGAGGGAGAATCATCAGCCTTCGTGAAGCTGGATTGTCGTATCGTGCAGTAGCCTCTCGTGTGCAGCGTAACAGCAGCACAGTGATGCGCGTTTGGAAGCAGTGGACGGACGAGTGTCGGACAACTCGGAAATCCGGGAGTGGACCCCGAAATGTGACGTCAGCTCGCGATGATAGACAATTGGCAGCACTGTGGTCAATAGCTACAGGTGTTTCATTGTGTGCTTCATCAATTCGTAGACGTCTGCTGCAGTGTGGACTGCGCGCACAGACTCCTTTATACAGGATCCCCCTAACGCACGACCATCGCCGCCTGCGGCTACAATGGGCCAATCAGCATAGAGACTGGCGTGCTGATTGGCAGCATGTCGTGTTTTCTGACGAATCCCGCTTTAATTTGTGGTACCATGATGGCCGCATTCGTGTTCAGACGCTATGCCGGTGAACGCCACCTTCCGGAGTGCATTATCGAACGCCACAGTGGACGAACACCCGGAGTTTATGGTCTGGGGCGCCATAGCATATCATAGACGATCTCAATTGCTACGAATTGTGGGCAATCTGAACAGCAACCGGTATATCCGTGAAGTTCTACAGCCCGAAGCTGTTCCCTTCCTTCAAAGCTTGCCAGGCGCTGTATTTCAACAGGACAATGCCCGCCCTCATACTGCTCGGATTGTTAAATCCTTCTTTGCAGCGCAGCAGGTTACAGCTTCTTCCTTGGCCTGCGTGTCCCCCGGATATGTCGCCAATTGAACATGTGTGGGATGTCATTGGTCGGCGTCTTGCTCGTGATCCTCGTCCTGTTGCGTCTGCAGACGAACTTTGGGTACGCGTACAAACGATATGGAATGCTCTTCCTCAGTCAGACATTCAAACTTTGTTTGACTCCATGCCACGTCGTGTAGCAGCACTTATTGCGGCGCGTGGTGGCCACACAAAATACTGATTCTGATCTCTTGTTCTTGTTTGTTTGCTTTGAACATTTAATCATTTATTTGTACCACTACCACTCAACTGTGTATTAAATTGCATTCAATTATGACGATTCCTTCTTGGTGTTGCAATTTTCACAAACGTGAGTGTACTAAAATTTACATGTAGCCAATCTCATTACTCTTTGGCAACACAATACATATTACAAACGAGGACTAAATATATCTGATTTTTTTAACCAGTACATAAAAGAAAAAATTTGGGTGTTTTATCTGTTTCAAACGACCAAAGAAAATTACCTAAAAGATAATTATAGGTCATTAGGTTAATTAGATGGGAGCACTCTGACTTTAAAATATCAGACATTTTAATGGTCAAAGTTTGAATAAATTAAAATGCAAAAATTACCTGATATGAAAACTGACGGACCAATTTATATAACTTATTTGCCTCCTCTGCAAAAAATTCTGCCTGCGTAAAAAGATCCTGCAAAAAATTAGAATTACACTTATAAGGTTTAAAATTTGAATATTAACATATTAAAAGGAATAAAGTTACAAAAAAACTAGAAACTCCATGAAACAGTCTAAACTTTCAGGTGCATACTGTTAACTCTGAAGAGGTTATCACACATGGCTAGAGTCCCTGCTAGATGGGACTTTTCTGAGAAATGAGATTCTGGTAGCCCTAGATCAAACGGGAGGAATCCTAGAAAAAAGAGCCCCACCTGAAGCAAAGTTCCACCTAGCTACGGAAACAATGTTGCGGCTATGCGGGATTTTTTTTCAAACCTCACCGAAAATGTCTCGCTTGAACCTCAGTCCCGAGTAGAGACAACCAATCAGACAAAAAGTTCTGCTTCTGAAGCCTCACGTGATCCCAATCTGAGCAATAATTGATTAGTGTTTGGCATTCAAGTCTTTGTAGTAAGTGAAAATGGTAACATAACTACGTGGATTTCTTAGAATTGTCCCTTTCAATGTCAAGTGCCACGTAGCCGAAACATAATGTGGTTGGGACTTCAGAAAATAAGTATGTAGTTAGAAATTATTTATCAGAAAGCACATTTTTAGTGAGGTACAGAGTAATCAGCTCCTTTTTGGGAGGGGGAGGGGAAAGGTGAACAGAGAACAACTGCGAACAAATTGAGAATGATTTACATCCACCTTGTATCAAAAAAAATCACTACATAAAATAACATGAATATCTTTTTGCAAGCCAATGGCATTTGAAAAAACTGTCCTTTACATCTTACTTGTATCACCTCCCCTCTGATTACAGCAGGTCTTCTACATTAAAATATAAATTTCATTGGAAATTTTAAATACAAAGTGTTGAAATTCATTCAGTTTTGGTTGGTTAATTTAATTATGTTAAGAATAAATAAGTGAAACTGTCTAAAATTCATATTTATATACGAGAAAAATGACAAAAACCACATATTAAATAGTTAATTTTTAACTATTAGAAGTCAATTCTTTAGAAATAGATAAATCTATGATTTGAACTGATTTCCTGCTGTCTTGATACAATTATCTTACATTCAGTATCACTACAGAAAAGAAATCATCAACGGCTTCAAAATAAAATGATTTAAATTTTATATTCATTTATCTATTCAAAACAATAATGACACGAATTTCACAAAATTTTCATTTCCTCTTTCAATGAGATAAGCAGACAATTCTCTGCAGTATGCCTCCAGCAGAAAGACACTGAACAGATGAGCATTTTGTTTGCTCAGTACCATTCAAATGTACTTCTTTCATTTTTCTGGTAACTACTGCATAGTTTTCTTTAACCTTTTCGAAACGGCGCACCTTTGTTTAAGACGCTCGTGCAGGACGGAAGAGAATCGAAGGCAGTCACAGTACAGGATGGACATTTTGCATCGCTAAGCCTAATTTTATAACAAAAATCAGAAAAGCAAAAGTTTCGCTTCTAGCATCGTAATTTTTGGTATCATTTTAGATTATTACTTGAGCTGTTATATATGTTAAAATTAGCCCTTAAAACATTTTTTTCTTAATTTTACATGAAAATATACTTAAAAAATTGCTTATCTTCTAAAATAATTTTCGGAAGTGCTATTCAAATTATTCCAAAGTTTTAATTGATAAAATCCATCAATAAAGTTTAAAATTAATAAAAAGAACACAATAAAGACTATTTACAGTAAGAAAAGTAACAAAATTTAAAATGAAAATGAGTGTGGTAAATCTCGAAGCACAGAGAAGTATCACTTTGTAACTCTTAGAAAAAGTATCACTTTGTAACTCTTACAAAAAGTATCACTTTTTAACTTAGAAAATGAATCAGTACTCTCATTTGCATTACTTAAATGGTTCACTAACCATACTAGGGTATTCTTCCTCTGATAAATAGCGCCTTCCTGCCATAATAGACTGGAGGTGAGGCTTTCTTAAATAAAAAAAGAAGGAACGGAAACATATCTGAAGGCAATGCAAAACGTAAAAAAAACTCCGCACAGTAACCCTAAAAGACCCTACATAGTAGAGGGAAAAATAGAAAAAAAGGAATTTGATATAAATCAGATACGAGAATGTTTTCATTAGCACGCAGCGATTTAAAGAGCCAGCCTCTGTTTACGCTTTCCCTCCCCCCCCACTCTCAACAGCTGATGAGTAAAAGTCAAGTAGAATATATCAAACTCAAGGTCAGGAACCTAAAACTGTGTTCATTTCAAAAGTAATGGACACAGGATGCCATCTAGTGGCCTTCAGAAAAACGTTCCACCTTAAAATGCATATACGCATCACCCATCCTCTGAATGCGATCTTTACTGATGCGTGGATGGGACACCCGGCTGTAAGAGACGTTCTTAGGGAATGCGTATATGGGACGCCTGTCCTGAAAGGGTTAATCAAAGTGGATAAAATTATCAAAGGCTTGCTTCATTCAAATTCTAAGACATAACCTTGCCCTAAATATGATGATGATGAAAAAAAGATTCATTTCTAGGAAGCTTTTTCTGTACTTCTTTCATTTTCCTGGCAGATTTTTTTTATCAAAGTGGATCAAATTATCAAATGCTTGCTTCATCCAGATTCTAAGACATAACCTTGCCCTAAATATGATGATGAAACAAAAGATTCATTTCTAAAAAGCCATTTTTCTTCAACACCCATCAGCTAGTAATCAACTACTATTTATTTTTTGTCATCAAACTTTGAATATATTTGCATTTTAATTATGTTATCTAGTATTGAACTTCTTGTTTTACACTTCAGTGTAGCTATTTTAGCAGATCATAACCAATTATAGCCTTATTTCATTAGATTTTTTTTCCTTAACCCATTTAATAGTTATATACATTCATGAAACATCCTGCTTAAAATAGTTATATTCTGTTATGTCCCAAAGTACAGCTCTAATGCTATATGTACAAGATAAAAGAATATCTCACATAAGAGGATAATTTTCACTGTCAAAAGGCTTATTAAAATGGATTTTGAACAATTTTAGGCAGTTTGAAAAGTACTCAGGAATGTTTCTAACACTTAGTCATGAAAGGTATTCATTATTTTGGTCCCTCTAAAGTTGTATCATACTTTGGATACTTCATTGCAGTACTTCTGTTTTAATGTTGAGCTTCAAAATTCTTACCACATTCTCTAAAACTGAAAGAACATATTTAAATGATATCATGCCCTATTTTTATAAAGGCTAAAAATATGTAGTAAAGTATTACTTCGTGAGATCTCTCAGAATACTTTAAAATTAGCAAGGCAAGTAAGAGATCTTAACAAACAAGCTACTCCTGTCATTTCCCGTAACGAGAATAAGTAATGACTATTTATTTTATTTTGATAAATACAAAGTAAGAATGTTCACTTTTTATAAATATGATTTACAAAAAAGCATGTTATATTTATGGAAAGGTAACTATTACTGACAGAGCTGTAGGTAGGGATTTTAGCACCCGGGGACAACTGAAGATTTCATACCTCCTCCTGCTTGCCCAAAATGGGAAACATTTCATTCTAAAATTTCATACTTGATTCTACCCTTGCCTGCCCCTAGCTACTTCACTGATTACTGATGTAAGAATTTAAAAGCTGAATGATTTTATATAATTTCACAGAGCATAAGAAATAAACTAATAACTACAGCTTTACTCCTAAAGCCATGCAAATATAGCCCTTTGTCTCATATTCTATGGAATTCTAATTAGAGTTGTAAAACCAAAGTTTCATTTCTGTTATTTTCTTAAGATATATATATCCCCAGGAGTGAAATAAACTTGTATAAACAGTGAATGCACACAGAATAAATAATTTTATTCCTTACTTTTACCTTTTACACTGTAATCCAGTGAAACCTCAGTTCATGAACTTAATTCATTCCAGAAGGCCATTCATCAATTGAAATATTCATAAGCCACAAATTTCCCCTTAGGAATTAATGCAAACTACATAACCTGTGTCTGGACCACACATGGTTTATTTTTATTCTATAACAGTACTTTTTGCACAAATTCATAACCAAAAACTAATGGAAAGACAAAATAAATGAAACTTAATTTTATTGTACCTGTACAAAGCAGAGCGTATGAAGATGGCAGCATAATTACAAAATGATCAGAAAGATGCTAATGTTTCGATACGAAATTTCCTTCCACTAAGAACAGCAGTGTCAGTTGTCTCCGTTTGAGACTCACTGGGACTCTGTTTCAGTCAACATTTGTCTAATGTAATTTTTTGTTGCATACTGCTGTTTACTTTTTCAGTGTTATATCACTTCATGAAAGCTTTGCATCTTACCCCATTTTGAAGAAATTTCAGAAATCAGAAAACTAGGCTCATTTTTCTTTTTTCCTCATCTTCTAAAGACATTTCTTCCACAATTGCCTTTGTTGCTGCTTCTGAAATTGTATTTTTTTGCGATCATTTTTATGGTCCTTCAGTAACTTCTACACATCTTCATTAACTTTCTGGGCTATGGTTTTAGCTAGAGATACAATATCATACATAAGGAAAAAATTTTAATGATTTTTTTCAGAAGACTCTGGGTATCAATTATGTGGCATAAGATACCTCAAAACACCTATGAAATTTATATGTAGCCAATTTGAATCTGTGCAACTCAAGACACCATTCACTATCCAAGGCAATTTTTGTTCAAATAATTTGTGCCATGAGGCATTCATGATCCGAGATTTCACTATATAAGAAGTATCTCTAACATCTTCACACTTAAAAGATAATTTTAATTTATAGATAAATGAAGTTCTACAAAAAAGATATTTTGTTTAGACGCTTTTCAAATATCTGCTTCCCTGCAAAGAAATTTGAAAAAGTATTCTTGAGGCAAAGCAATATGTTGTCAAAATAGTTATATGGCAATTCACAATGTCACCAAAAATATTTATGTAGCAACCCAGGTATGCACATAGCATGTCTGTTTTGGCCGGTGCAGAATGCCGAAAAAAAAAAAAAAAAAAAACTAATAATAAAACACTTTGA